CCCAGCTACTCAGGAGGCTGAGGCAGGAGAATTGCCTGAACCCAGGAGGCGGAGGCTGCGGTGAGCCGAGATCGCGCCATTGCACTCCAGCCTGGGTAACATGAGTAACACTCCGTCTCAAAAAAAAAAAAAAAAAAAAAAGAAGTACAGAAGAAATAATAAATCTGACATTGTCAAGGAGAAAGGCAACAGTGGGTTCTAGGTGTGTCGAGTTTTGAGTACTTGTGAACTATGCAGGTAGAGCTGCCCAGTAGGCAGTTGGGTGCTTGGTTTTGGAGGTCAGTGGGAGGTCAGAGCCAAAGATAAAGATTTGGGAGCCATCTGCCTGTAGGAGGTGTTTAAAGCAAAAGCTATGGTAGAATTTTCTAGAAAGGGTATATAAATTGAGGAGGACCAAAAGAGTTGCTGGTTACCAGTGCCAAATATTGCCCCCTTAAAAATCCAGTATAACCGGGCTCAGTGGCTCACACCTGTAATGTTAGCACTTTGGGAGGCTGAGGTGGGTGGATCACTAGGTCAGGAGTTTGGGACCATCCTGGTTAATATGGTGAAACCCTGTCTTTACTAAAAATACAAAAATTAGCTGGGCGTGGTGGCGCATGCCTGTAGTCCCAGCTACTCGGGGGGGGCTAAGCCAGAAGATTCACTTGAACTCAGGAGGTGGAGGTTGCAGTGAGCCAAGATTGCACCACTGCACTCTAACCTGGGACACAGAGCAAGACACCATCTCAAAACAAAAAAAATCCAGTAATGATATAACCAAAAAGAGCCACTGGATTTGGCAACCAGGAGGTTGACAATGGAATACATTTCATTTATTCAAATGTTGATTAAATATCTACTATGTGTTAAGGATACTAAGGATACAGTGAATAAAACAGACCAAAAAAATCCCTCCTCCCATGTAGCTGAAATTCTAGTTGCAAGGAAGGAGCAGATAAATAAAGGAAATAAATAAGTAAATTATATCAAGTATTAAAAGGCAGTGAATGCTCTGAAGGTTAGGTAAGCTGCCTATGGTCACATGGCCAAGTAAGTGCAGAAACCAGGACTAGAAACGAACCTGCTCAACTCGAGAGTTGTGCTCTTCTTACTGTTGTACCACACCTCCTCTCCCACTTCAAAAATCTTGGTTCTATTGCCACAGAATTCCATATAGCCCCAGCTAAACATTTCAGAAACAAACCAGAGTACATGCAGAGTTTAATCTAAACTCAACGCCGTTTCTGAAAGCCAGCTATGAGGGGACATCCCCAGACAAGTAGTACCAGTTTTATATGTAGATGGTATATTGAAAAGTCATTTCATCTGATCATAAAATTACTTTTCTAAGAGGATGACTGGGTGCAGTGGCTCACACCTGTAATCTCAGCACTTTCAGAGGCCAAGGTGGGCGGATCACTTGAGGCCAGGAGTTTGAGACTAGTCTGGCCAACATAGTGAAACCCCGTCACTACTAAAAATACAAAAATTAGCCAGGTGTGGTGGTATGCACCTGTAGTCCCAGCTACTCAGGAGGCTGTGACAGGAGAATCGCTTGAACTCAGGAAGTAGAGGTTGCCATGAGCCGAGATCACGCCACTCCACTCCAGCCTGGGCAACAGAGTAAGACTCTGTCTCAAAAATAATAATAATAAAGGATAAAACATTCCTTTCAGAGATGGAGCATTTGGGTAATAACAGGGTTTGGTCAGGCTGGCTCTGAAGGTAGTGATGATATCCATGGGATAGCCAAAGTGGTATAAAGGTGAGGATCACTGAAGCCGAGGGCCAGAAACTGGTCATAGGCTGGGTCATCTTTATAGATTCCAAAGTTACCTAAGATGATGGTAAGGCTCGGAGAGGGTGAGCTACCAGGTGTCATAGTCTTCAATGAATGTGGAAGAGTGGCCATATTAGGAGATAATAGCAGGACAAGGACTATGGTTCAGTGACATTAGCCCCAGCTAAGTGCTTCTGTCATCAGAGTGGAGGAGGAAGGGTCTGGGAACAGCAACAGAGTGAGAAGAATGCCACCTACCCTGTCACATCTGTGATGTGGAAAAATGAACAGCCTCTGCTTGGGAGCTTCACAGAGGAAGTACCAGTAAAGATAAGGAAACAGGAGAATACTGTAAAAAGGCTAAGGGCATGGGAGTATGTTTATCAAGTCCAGAGGCATAGGTTGGGAGGGACTGTAAGTATGAAATTGAGTCTGTCCCAAATGTCTGCTTCCTTCCAGGCAAAATAAACCACAAATATGTGCACAGGGTATCATGATTGTATTGCATGTTAATATCCATTCTAAGCCGATAGAACAAGAAGAACCCCATGGCAGCCATTCTTTGCTATCATCTTGGCCAGGAGCACAGCATCTAGAGTGCAGACTTGAGACCCTGGCTTCTTCCACTAGGACATTTATTTCCTAGTGTTTCAATCATCTCATCCCAGCTTCTGTTTCCTGCCAGGCTCAGAGCCCCTACCTCCCACACAGTGGAGGAGTAGATGTCCATTTCTCAGGAGCAGTGGACTGCTTCCGGCAGATAGTGAAGGCCCAGGGGGTCCTGGGGCTCTGGAATGGATTAACAGCCAATTTACTGAAGGTAAGAAGAGCTACCAGTCTCTGCTGTTCCTCTGCCTCTTCCAATTCTACCCTCTTCTTTTGTCATCCCCCATCACAGTTAGCTTGGAAAACCCCCTCTAGCACTAATGGGTAGCACAAGGCCAATGAATGTACACTGTCTGTCAGCCCTTTAGAGAGGGGAACATGTGTAATGGTGGAGTATCTTTTTTTTTTTTTTTTTTTTTTTTTGAGACGGAGTTTCGCTCTTGTTACCCAGGCTGGAGTGCAATGGCGTGGTCTCGGCTCACCGTAACCTCCGCCTCCTGGGTTCAGGCAATTCTCCTGCCCCAGCCTCCTGAGTAGCTGGGATTACAGGCACGTACCACCATGCCCAGCTGATTTTTTGTAGTTTTAGTAGAGATGGGGTTTCACCGTGTTGACCAGGATGGTCTCGATCTCTTGACCTCGTGATCCACCCGCCTCAGCCTCCCAAAGTGCTGGGATTACAGGCGTGAGCCACTGCGCCCGGCCTATGGTGGAGTATCTTATACCGCATTCCAGAGGAGCTGAGCATTTAGTGCAGAAATTCCTAATGTGGAGGTTCATGGGCCCCTAAGAGGAACCTAACCCCTCATCCTAAAATTCTATGCAAAAATGTATGTGTATATGCGTATGTGCATCATATTCCCAAAGAACTCCATGACCAAAAAAAAAAAAAAAAAAAGGTTAAGTACTCTGGACTAACCTTGCACTAGCTGGCATGTAAATGATTCCAGTCAAGGCCAGCATATCGTGACAGGCAGTATTAGATTGTCTGTGTGCATATGACCTAGATCCATCACCTCCCAGGCAGGGCATCCCCTTCAATCACTGTCATTCCTCTACCAACCCACACTGGGCCAGCTTTCCTTTTGCCATCTTCTCTGATTCCAAAAACAGTTGCCATTTGTATTGCCACTGCCATTATCTCACTTTACCTTAATCCAAGTTGACTGCAGACACATTGTTTTCTTTTTAAGAATTTAACTTGATTTTCATTTTCTGTTTTAACAGATAGTTCCATATTTTGGAATTATGTTTAGCACCTTTGAGTTCTGCAAGAGAATCTGTCTTTATCAAAATGGTTACATTCTGTCTCCATTGAGCTATAAATTGACCCCAGGAGTCGATCAGAGTTTGCAGCCCCAGGAATTACGAGAATTAAAGAAGTTCTTCAAAATGAGAAAACTGAAGTCTAAAAAACCAACTCTATAAAATGGAATGGAACTAGAAGTGCACTGACGGCGTGTTGCAATCACAGATAACTGCAGCCTCATAACTGGGCACCTAAGGAGGGAGGAGAAGCTACTGCTGTCTGCTGCTCTGGGATATGAGACAGTATGGTCGTGCACCGCCTCAAATCTCCACACTGATGTCCCCATGAACTCCTGCACCATGAGAAGGTTTCCCAACTTGAGTGTGTCATGATGGCATTCCACGAGATTTTGTAATCAGAGTCTAGCAATGATAAAATGTACAATTTATGCTCTGAATAGAAACATAACACCAAAGAAAGGGCATTGTCATAACATCTCAAAGCAACATGTAATTGATGTGGCTGAGTGGATACCACATTGTGAGCAGAGCCACCGGGTCACTTGTACTTAATGCAAAGCTTGTACAAACCAACGTCAGCCTAGTTTTGTTTAGTTTGACCTGAGACTTCCCAATACAATCTGTTGTTTTGTTTTGTTTTTAGAGACAGGTTCTTGCTCTGTCACCCAGGCTGGAGTACACTGACACAATAATAGCTCACTGCAGCCTCCAACTCCTGGGCTCAAGATATCTTCCTGCTTCAGCCTCCCAAGAGTTGAGACCATAGGTGTGTACCACCACACCTAATTTTTTTTGGAGGAGGGGTCTTGCTATGTTGCCCAAGCTGGTCTTGAACTCCTGGGCTCATGCAATCCTCCTGCCTTGGCCTCCCAAAGCACTGGGATTACAGGTGTGAGCCACTGCACCCTGCCCCAATACAATCTTTCTTGAATTCAAATTTTTGCTGACTTCTGAGTGTACACACCACTCAGTGATGTGTATCACAATAGTGATAGCTTTTAAATGTTCTGATGAAACCAAATAAAAATATCGAACATTTAAAAGCTATCACTATTGTAGTAGAATCATCCTCCTTTTTTGAAATTTGAAGCATCCCAGGCTTAAAATTTTATGTTTCAGGAAGACAGTTTATACCATGACTGCTTAATTATGCCCCAAAGACCTTCTTCTGATTGAAGTCATGTACAGTTCAGTGGCCTGAATTCTCTGCCTTTTTAACTTGCTTTGCAAGCCTACCCTGAAAATAAATTCTTTAGTCAAGTTATTCTCAAAGATGTCCCAGTTGCCTAGAAAGGATCAAATGGAACATTTGACACACATACCTTAAAAAAATGTAACTGACTATAAACACTTTAGCCTAATCATCTGTATCAAACTTTCTAAAAATCAAATTTGAGGATTGTTCCACCTTAGGAATTCTATGTAAACTTTAAATAACTATACTTTTCAAATAGCACCTATCCATGCATTTTTAAATGCCTTAATATAAGGCCAGGTGTGGTGGCTTACGCCTGTAATCCCAACACTTTGGGAGGCCAAGGCAGGCGGATCATGAGATCAGGAGTTCAAGACCAGCCTGGCCAAAATGGCGAAACCCTGTCTCTACTAAAAATACAAAAAAATTAGCCAGGCGTGTTGGCATGTACCTGTAATCCCAGCTACTCAGGAGGCTAAGGCAGGAGAATCACTTGAAACCAGAAGGCAGAGGTTGCAGTGAACTGAGATCACGCCACTGCACTCCAGCCTGGGCAACAAGAGCAAAACTCCATCTCAAAAAATAAAAATGCATTAATATCTAACATTAAATTGTTAATTTATACACACGCATACACTCATACACAGAGAGAGATTTTCAGTATGTTGCAAGTATTTTTTCCTATTAAATTTATTTTCCAGGCCGGGCGCGGTGGCTCACGCCTGTAATCCCAGCACTTTGGGAGGCTGAGGCGGGTGGATCATGAGGTCAAGAGATCGAGACTATCCTGGTCAACATGGTGAAACCCCGTCTCTACTAAAAATACAAAAAATTAGCTGGGCATGGTGGTGCGTGCCTGTAATCCCAGCTACTCAGGAGGCTGGGGCAGGAGAATTGCCTGAACCCAGGAGGCGGAGGTTGCGGTGAGCCGAGATCGTGCCATTGCACTCCAGCCTGGGTAGCAAGAGTGAAACTCCATCTCAAAAAAAACAAAAAAACAAACAAACAAAAAAAAATTATTTTCCAAAGAAAAAATGACATGTTGGGCATTTATTGCTAATCTGAGTTATAAAACTACGGTTAAATACATACTGGCCAAATCTATAAACTCTCTGAGCCTTATCCGATTTAAGTATACCAAAATAATTCACTTTTCCAACTGCTGTGGTATTGTGTTTTATGGAGAATGGCAGTTAACACACACATGGAAATCTCATCTGTAGTTCAATCTATTAGAGTTTGGAGGATGGCAGATTCTTTACCCAGAGTGAATAGTTCATGTTTATTACTCTTTATTTTCCTTGAAACAGACAACTTTTCAAACAGTTCTGAAAGCTGCAAAAATATTTTTTACTTTATTTTTTAAACTATAAAATCCTAACACCTCACATTATTTCATGGTAATATCTTGTGTATTCCTCCACAAGTTTTTTTTCTTTTGAAAAAAAATTGTCACCTAGGCTGGAGTACAATGGCACAATGTCAGCTCACTGCAACCTCTGCCTCCCGAGTTCAAGCAATTCTCAAGTCTCAGGCTCCGAAGTAGCTGGGATTACAGGCACCTGCCACCATGCCTGGCTAATTTTTGCATTTTTAGTAGAGACAGGGTTTCACCATGTTGGCCAGGCTGGTCTCCAACTCCTGACTCTAGGTGTTCCGCCCACCTCCACCTCCCAAAGTGCTAGGACTACAGGTGTGAGCCACTGCACGCTGCCCTTCCACAAGTATTATTAAATAGATAGCCAAGCTCTTGCAGTTGTCATGCACAGAAATGTTTTCCGAGCTGCGGTTTTGATTTTTTCTTCATTAAATTAAGAGGGGAAAATAATATGCCTGATTTTTCTAATTTCAGAAGAACTCTTAAACTCTTGTTCTGTTTCTAAAATAAATTTCCAACTAATTTCATTTCCTTGGAGGTATGAAGAGAGAGTTCTGACTTTCTGCTTTATGGCTGACAATGAGCACCACACTGGACTAAGTACTTGAGAAGGATTATAAAGATGTGTGATGCAATATTGATTCAGAAGGAATTTATGGGCTTAAGGAACAAAAAATATATACCTACATATATGTAATGACTGATTACAAAGCAAATGCAAAGGCATGATAATGTAGTATCAACTGTTTCTAAGATTGCCAAGGAGCTGATACTTAGTGAATAAAAAACTGAAGGGGTCATCACAGGGGAGAGAGACTAGTGATCAACAGAGATTTGGGGAGGTTGTGAGTCTTATTATTGTTTTTTTTTTTTTAGACAGAGACTCATTCTGTCACCCAGGTTGGCTAACTGCAACCTCTGCCTCCCAGGTTCAAGCGATTCTCATGCCTCCGCCTCCTGAGTAGCTGGGACTACAGGCACCTGTCACCATGTCTGGCTAATTTTTGTATTTTGTTGGTAGAGACGGGGTTTCACTATGTTGGCCAGGCTGGTCTCGAACTTGTGGCCTCAGGTGATCCACCTGTCTCAGCCTCCCAAAGTGCTGGGATTGCAGGCATGTCCCACCGCACACAGCCATGTGTCTTGAACTAAATTTTGAAGGAAGTTAAGGGATATGTATTGGTCACGAA